ACGTTCAAGCTCTCGATTGGATGAAACTGTGAACAGCTGATTTACGTCAATTGCATGGTAAAAATTACTAGTATAGGAACGTTACGATTCTACCGATACGTTTCTGAAATCGATTCTTTTCTTTCGATTTCTGTGGAATCGGTATTTGCTTCCGAATCTTGATAAAATCGATTCCAAAAGTTATTACTTTATTATTAATTTTATAGAAGTTCATGTCGTATTTGAATTCTACCTCCCACCATACCTCCACCTACCGCTTCGTTCAAACTGAACCTCTTGGTTCAAATTACATTTTTAGCATCAACATTTTTTTCTGTCGGCGGATCGCGTTGTTTGAAGTTGTGTTTCTTTGAATCCGTTAATATTTCGTTGATTAGTTCATACTATTGTTGATGTTACAATATATTCTTATGGTTTCATTTATGTTCTATTAATATACTGTTTTATTGATACATTCTGTTTTTTATTTCAATTGAATTATTCATCAATAATATGTTAATAGTAGTTACGTAGTTCATTATTATTGTTGTTAAAATTTGATTAATTTACATTGGTTTTGTTTTATTTAATTGCAATTGCTTGATTCCGGTATCGATACCTTCGTTGAACGGTCTTAGGGAATTTGTGCCACCTCGGACGTTAAAGCACTGTCGATCTTTTGCTCATGCGCAGTTCAGGTTTCGCTCCATTTTAGTGTATTTGCGCATGCGCAGAAGATCTATATTACTGACGTTAGGGCTGGCACAAACTCCTTGATATCATTTGATTCGATTCCTTAGAAAATCAATTCTTTTCTTTCGAGTCGATTCTAGAATCGACACCAACTTCCGTCGATTCCAGAATTGTTTCTTTTACAGGAATCGAACGTCCCTAACCACGGTGCAACATATAAAGGTCTGTTAACTATACTTGGCGCGAGGCCTTGCCATCAAAAATGGAATACCTCACGGTATTTAGATTTATTTAGTCAAAAAAAGAAAATAGTAAAAACTGAATGTGACATATGGGGTAGAAGAGTATCCGTGCAAGTTTTCTTGAATTTCAGAATCCCTTCCCGTCATTTTAACTATAAATAGTTAAGTTTAAGGAAAAGTTTAACGTAAATAAATGAAAATAAATTTTAAAAATCGCAATATTTGCAATATTTGAAAAAATAGACATTTTTGTTTCCGAGTTATAGAAAACTTATTTGCAAGTACGATTTTTCTGCATTGTTAACAAAATAGCAACTCGCGCTTTCTCGGTCGTGCCGCTAGATGTCGCATAATCGCACTGCTCGAAACGGTCGCGATCATGCAACATCTAGCGGACTACCGAAAAGGACAAGAAATATCGTGAGATATTCCATCGGGAAGACCCAAATATAGCCGCTTTCTGACAAGGCATTCTTAAACCAATTTCAAATTAAAATTAATTTGAATTATTTAAGTTACAACAGTGAGAAACTACAACAGTTAATTACAAAATCACTACAAGAGTTGTCATCTATATTTTTTCAATAGTATATATATACCTTTTGCGGCTCTCACAAGTAACCAACATCCGGTCTCTAAAGAAAGAGAATATCACGGAGACGTGACGAATTGCACTTTGCAAATTGTTCAAATGTGAAGGATTTTCTCAAAAAGCGCTTCTAAATATTAATGTCAAATACAAACCGCAGCGCTCAGACAGCTACATCGATAAATAACTCCTAAATGAAGCGTTCTAGGGCCATAAAAACAAAACATTTGAGTCCAGAGGCTCCAAAGAAACGATCTTCAAGCATAAATCTAGAGGATGAGATATTGTTGTGGGCCCTCTGTCAGCGCGGCGGCACGGCCTGGGCAGGTAGCGTGCGGCCAGCCCCGGCGGAGGAGGCGGGACTTGCGGGATAAACAAGCCAGACTGTCGGTTTATGCTTTCGTCACTTTGCATCTCATTCTATTTTTCCACAGATACCAAACTAGAGATGCTATACTACTATTACAGACCGAGGTAAACGGTTTGTAATAGTAGTACATAACTGTCTTTTTCACATATTTCCGTCTTCCTTCGAATACCATTTTAAAATTGTTTGAGGCATTACTCAAAATATCGATTCTGGCATGGAACTATTTTTTTTAAATGAACTAGTTCTGTAAACATCACCATTATTCCATCTCCTCACATCTTATTTTAAATATATTTTGCTTCTAAGGTCTTCTGTTATCATTCCACCTAGCTCTAAGATCTTCCGTTGTCAAATACCGGAAAGAATGAGCGTAGTATACGCACAAGCTCTTTTGTCCTACAACTCGATTTTTGATCTCAAAACGACGTTTATCTGCTTTAAAGAGTTCATCTGGTGAAGCTTTTTTCCCAAGTAAAATAGCCGAAGCTAAAAAGAAGTTTAAAAATGTTTTCGTACTTTCGGACAAATTTTAAAAAAAGTGCACGATCTTGGCTGTCCGGGTGACGTCGCGTCGAAGGCTATATTGCCGACGTTTCGACCATTTTGTCGTGGTCTTCCTTAGAGCTGGTGAGCATACATACAGGGCTGGTATGCCCATGGCAAACCACCCTGGGGAAGACCACGATAAGATGGTCGAAATATCGGCAACACAGCCTTTCACCATTGTTGGTTTACACTCCGTGGTCATATTTCGGATGACCTGAAAAATTTCTTAAGATCTCTATTTGTTGTTATGTTGTTCCACTTCTTCGCTTTTTTCTTGAATAAACCTTTCTTTATCTTGTCTTGGTCTGGCCTAGAATACCCTATAGAGTTTTCTGACTTTCGTCTGGTCATTTGCTTTCTTGGTAGAGAAATATAATGTTTGAAAATAAAGAAATATAAGGACTCCGTTGTACATAATAATAATAATAATAATAATAATAATAATAATAATAATAATAATAATAAGGAGCTGTAACACGGCAAGAAGAATAGCGACAAGGGCCAAGATGAATCTGCACATCAGGAAGCAGTATAAAGAACTGTACAAACAGCTAAAGAGAAAGAAGTAAAGGCAGATGCTGGAAAGAGGTCTTAGAACAGATAGATAACGACCCATGGGGCATGGCTTATAAAACATTAAATAAGAAATTCAGGATGGACTGGAAGATACCTGGATTGAATGACCCACAATGGATGAGGAAAGCTATCAGGGACCTGTTTCCCACTAGAGATCCTTGGACGAGACAAAGATAGAGCGACTTCACGGTTGACGCAGCAGATTTCTTCACGATAGATGATTGTCAATCTATAACCGGTGCCTTGAGGATGGGATACATTGAAAAGCATATGTTGAAAAATGATCTCAGTGTCAATTTTGTACAATTTTTGTAATTCTTCAAGACGTGGAAGAGACAAAAGCTGATTCTCCTCCGAAAGGGCAATCAAGCCGGTCGATCAGACGTCATCGTAGAGACCACTGTGCCTCCTTGACACCATGGGCAAACTGCTTGAGGGTATAATACTCTCTAGGCTTGAGGGACTCATATGCTTTTCTCACAGGCAATATAGATTACGGAGAGGCCACTCGACGATGGATGCCATCCTGGAAGTAATCAAAATAGCAGACGCAGCCCGAGGAGTCGGCAAGAAGAAGGGATTCTGCGCGCTCGTGGCAATTGGCATTAGAAACGCCTTCAACTCCACTAGGTGGAATAATATTATAGACGCGTTAGTTAACAAGATGATTCCGGAATATCTCATAAGGCTTATTGAAGACTACCTCCATGAAAGGACGATAACTTATGTGGACAGGATCAGGATAGAAGAGAATGTGACGTGCGGTGTTCTCAGGGAGGTGGGGATATATTTTTTGTAAATAATAACTGTATTTGTTATTATATTGTATATTATTTAGAGATTCACCAGATAAACCCTTTAAAGTAGGTGAACGTCGGATAAAAGAGCTCGTGCGTATACTCCGCTCATTCTTTCCAGTATTTGAATCCGGAAGATCTTTGAGCAAAGTGGAATGTTAACGAAAGACCTTAGAAGTAAAATATATCTAAAATAAGTTGGGAGGAGATGGAATAATGGTGATACTTACAGAATTAGTTCATTAAAAAAAATTGTTCCGAGCCGGAATCGATATTTTGAGTATTGCCTCAAAGAAATTTTAAAATGGCATTCGAAGGAAGACGGAAATATGTGAAAAAGACAGTTATGTACTACTATTACATACCGTTTACCTCGGTATGTAATAGTATAGTATCTCTAGTTTGGTATCTGTGGAAAAATAGAATGAGATGCAAAGAGACGAAAGCATAAACCGACTGTCTGGCTTGTTTATCCCGCAAGTCCCGCCTCCTCCGCCGGGGCTGGCCGCACGCTACCTGCCCAGGCCGTGCCGCCGCGCTGACAGAGGGCCCACAACAATATCTCATCCTATAGATTTATTATTTTGTTGTCTTTTTCGCTGTGAAGAAATCCAAATTGATTTGGAATTCATGAAGAAATACAAAATAATGGTGTTCCAAGGTCAGGATCTAAAATAAGTGAAGATTTTAATTTAAACAAATTGACATCAAATAATTGAACAGGTATCAACATTCCAACGATTAGAAAACTAGACCAATTTTTCATTTTTGTTTCCTATTACTAATATGAATTTACGAAATAATGAGACATTTATACCCATTTTTCTCCGTTTTTCATCTATGTATTCACGTTAAATATTCATTAAAAATTGTTGTGCAGGTTGTAAATTTTCTGCTTTAAAAATATCTCTTCTGTAGAAGTGAGGTTCTGTCTCACCAATTGTATCAAAGTGTGCATATTTGATTAATTTTATTAGAACACACACCTTTATTAACTTTCATAATATTACATCCACAATTTACTAATTAAATCTTAGTGATTTATGTTTTTCAACCATCGTTCAAGCAAGCATCTGTTGATTTTTGGGGAGCTTATGAAAGGGCATCCTCCAAGAGTTTGAGCAACCTCTCACGGAACATTTACCCATCTTCTGCAAACAATTCAATTAATTCTTTGTAGTAAATCATAAGAAAAAAATATAATACTAATGGATATTCCCTACATGCACCACAACCAGCATTCGCACAACTTTACTTTGAAAATGCGTGCCAAAATGCAACAGCTGCGCTATCTGCACCAGGCCCGTGACTGAGGAAACAAACTTAGTTCCCCACCTTTTGACATCGAGTGAACCGGCCCTGGTCCTGTGGACTTTGTCGCATCTCTCCGAATGCGTATTTTCTTGTGTTGTCGAAGTAGTCGTTCCGTGTCTGTCAAATAATTCATGGTTAAATGTAATTACTGTATTTATATAATCAACTTATAGCGTGCAGTGCAGCTTTAGAAAGTATTTTGAAATTCTAAAGAAATGAACAGCAAAGACAATGAAGTGTTTAAAGACTTGGAAGAGAAGTACGAAAAGGTTCGAAAATTGTTGGAAGAAGATGCAAAAAGAGACCCTGAAACTGAACCATATCGCTCGAAATACCTAGCAAGTTCCCTTTTAAAAGATATGAAATGCATATTGGACAAAGTATTGGATGATGTAAATGCGGAATGTCAGGATTATTTGCGTTATAAAGCAATGCTCGGTGCTGTAAACCTTAATTTAGGCATAATTGCAGTTGACACTGAGGAATTATCTACAGGAGAGGAACATTTGACGAATTGTGTTGACGGGCTTTCGGAGTACAGTACAAAACAAGAATGTATTATTGTGACGTTAACAGCACTTAATCAACTTGGAATTTTGTGGTCTCAGCGTGATGATCCGAAGAAATCACAGGCATATTTAGAAAAAGCAGAAGTTTTGTATAAAACGTACATCAGTGAGGAATCGAATGTGCCACTGGAAATAAATAATTTATTTCTCCTTACAGATTCAGAAAATGCTCATAATAGTTCTTCTGAATCTGAGAGTTCTCTAGAGCAAGTTCATACCCTTACTTTATATTATTTGGCCCAGATATATAGTAGTTTAAATGATCATGTAAAGGCTGCAGTTTACTGCCATACAACTTTACGAAGACAACTGGAGAGCAAAAACTTTGATCCCATTGATTGGGCATTAAATGCAGCTACATTGTCTCAATACTTTTTAGAGAAAAATGGATACAGCCAAGCAAGACATCATTTAGCTGCAGCTTCATACATACTTGACCAATATGAGAATGAAGGAAATCTGTCAGTGGGGACTGAGGAAGAGCAAGAAGCAAAGTAATTGAATTTTTAACAAACTTTAATGTCTTAATAAGTTAAATAGTTCTTCTGAAATAGTGTGTGTGTGTGTGTTTTTGCAATACATTATTCAAAAAGCTGGTTTCTTGTGTTTGTTTTCGGTAGAAAGGAACAATATCATCACCGCTGTGCAGATGTCTCACGGTGTTGGGCAAAATATAGTTTGACTCTTCTTGCTGCCTCTAAAGAACGTTTAATGGCTGGGACTGATGAAGACGGATTGAGTAATAACCTTGCTGAAATGCAGGTTTCTGAAAACAGCCTTGCTTCACAACGTAAGAAAACATTTGATATATAGTCTAAAAACATTCACAACATATATAAAAAGGTCTTCTTTTCCTTGTGGTAGTAAAGTAGTTCTTGAAAATGGCACATGCACAGAGCCAGAGAAATAAATCGGCAAAGAAAATAAGAACACTCATAAAACAGACATAGTGCATTGATTATTTTCATAATGTTGTTTATTATCATTGAGACTAAAATTACCCAACTCTTGCAATCTGATCAGTTCAAATTTTTTTGTCATTATGATTATATTTTCTGTAATCTAATGGAACTCTGTGAACATATGTACTGTTGCTTAATAGTACAATACAGGAAGGAGTTGCATACACTTGTGCAATTCTTCAATAGTTAAGGAAATTGCTCATTTTTTTTATTTTCAAAGGGAGTCAGTTCTAAAAATCTGAATTAAACAGGTATTTTATTTAAAACTGAAGTATGTTGTACAGATATTTGCTTCCCTATGTTTCAAGTCCTCATGGCTTTTTAAATTAAAGATTTTTTAAAAATATATTTGAGTAAACTAATATTTCAACTTTATTTGTTTAATATTAATTTGAAATGAATAATAATTGTGCTATTGAGTATATGCAAAATATAATTTTATTCAAATTTATTAAATATTAGAGTCTTTGCATTGTCAAAGTCTACATAGTTTAGATTCTTGCACTGTATGGTGTATAAACCATGAGAAGGTTTGAAATTATTTGGTCAGTCTGATTAATTATATGTAGCTCATTTATGCCTGTAATGTGATCAAGATCATATCTAAATAAATTACAATAAAACAAATGTATTACTTCCATCTCCAGATAACATGATGAATGTATTATTCCAAAAATTTGTTCATATTTATTTAAAGTATGAACATTTGTTTATTGATCAGTATCAAATTGCAAACTTGTTTAAATTAAAAAATAAATATTTATGAGTTAAATTTGAGATTTGTTTTTAAAAGTGTGATTTAAATTGTGTTTTAAAACATTAACTTTGTTAATGGATGTAAACATTTATTACAATTTTCAACTATCGGTCAAATAATAATCAACCTTATCAGCAACTTTCACTATATAATAATCACTAATAATGAACCTTTAAACAACATTCACTATATTTGCTAATTTAATACAGATATCAATATTAATGTCACTCCATCAAAATCCATATTCAAATGAGTTCCCATCTTAAAGCTTAACCAGTTATCATAAAAAATGCAATGACACAACATTCAATAAGAAAAGAATAATTTTCTGTGAAACTGTTTTTATACCATAAGAGACTGACTCAGGAAAATGACAATGATAATCTTTATTTAAAATCAAATATTAATACAAAGTAATATAAAATATTTATTCTTTCACTACTTATAATAATTTTACTTAATGTTTATGTAGCATGTGAACGTGAGGATCAGTGACCTCATGTTAATAGTGTTTCATCTAGTTTTCCTGGCTCTGTAGAGAAAATGTTCCAACATTCCTTACCTTGCTACTGTACATTTAAATATAGTTTTTGGTCACACAAATCTCGAATACAGCCTAGTACTTATCAAGAAATACACTTCCTGATATGAAAATTTATCTTTTTGCTAGTACACAATTTTTATCGCAGTTTGTGTTCGTTGATTTTTCTGTCTTTGAATTTTAATTTGAAGCTCTATTTATCTTTTGAGTTTTAATTCATCAAGACCTTATATGGTGAAGAAATTTTAAAAATTGAAATATCTGTAGAAATGAAAACTGAAAAGTTGTATTAACTTTTTGGTTTTTCTTTGGCTTACTTCTTGTTGAATTATTTATTCTGTTTCTTAATTTATAATTTGAAAAAAATTCACACCATCATTACAAATAGTTATCAATAGTGCTCTGAATGAGAAAAATTACAATTGTAGCTGAACAAACATTTCTCCAAGTATCATCTGAATGGCAGTGTAATGTATTGATCAATTTTAAGTAATTAACATTTTGTTATAGAAGAAGTAAGCGAGTTGTGGTTTATTTCACTTGAACTTTCCACATATGAGGAAGGAGTAGACACAAGATATGCACTTGTATTTGAAGAGGCCAGAGAGTTGTTCCGACATTCTCGGAACTGGCTGTCAAATGCTCAGACATATTATACGAAGGAGAGCCATGCTTCAGACTATGTCCAGATTGTACAGGATATGAGTCAGCTTTATAAGAATCTCATTTTCTTTGAAGATGATAAAGAAAGGTTACCTATTTTGTACATATGAAAGTCATTGCACATCACAATGTACAATGATTTATATTTTCATTTAACAATTTTATTTTTAGGCAGTGTCGAATGCATAAACGGCGAATTGTATTGCTTGAGGACGTGTTAAAGGAATTGAATCCTCAGTATTATCTTCTTGTATGTCGACAACTATGGTTTGAGCTGGCTGAAACATACTCTGACATGTTAGAAATTAAGCTAACAAGAGTTCAAGAGACAAATGATCAACAGCAGCAAAATGCTATTCAACGCAAGGTGCATCAGTTGGCTGAGAAAAGTATAGCAAATTTCAAAACATTTCTAGAATCCTTGAAAGGCACACAGTGAGTAGTTCAATATGAAAATAAATTGTCCAAAACTGATAGTTCCTGTTTCTAAAGTATTGTTGCATCCTGTTCTTTTCATAGTAGTACAATTACTTTTGTATTTATAGTTCTAAGAAAATACCAGATCCTCTTGGTGATGATGTAATGAGACCGGCTCTGATTGCTCATTTTTATTTGGGTCGTTTGTATGGTCAGTTACCTACACCTGATGGAAAAAGTAAGTTAGAAAATGTAAAGAAGAGCCTGGAGTGTTATCAGGTAAATATTGGATAATATTCTGAAATATAGGTGTTGCGGTAAGATATCTTTGGCATTTTTAAAATAATTAAAGATGTTGTCATTGCCAACAATGTTTTTTAATTCAATAGCAGCTTTCGATGGCTTAGCCATTATCATCAGTTGTCTGATACAAGAAGAAAAACACAAAAAAACAAAAACATTAAAACTTGTTGTTAATTCACGTTTTAATGTTTTTGTTTTTTTTGTGTTTTTCTTCTTGTATCAGACAACTGATGATGATGGCTAAGCCATCGAAAGCTGCTATTGAATTAAAAAACATTGTTGGCAATGACAACATCTTTAATTAATATTCTGAAATTGTTAATGTTTAGAATTTTTAATTATTTGCAGTATCTTTAATGATGTTCTTTTCAAGTTTAAGTATCAGTATTTGTTAGACAGAATTTTCAATATATTGTGTAATGTAAATGTTCTCATGATAGCTACTTTTCTTATTTTTAGTTCTTAGTTGATTATTGTTCCAATCATCCTGAAAGTGAAGCTCAGATGCAGTCAGAACTGTCGGTGTGTTGTGATATGGTGAAGCTTCTACCTCTTAAAATGGAGCGTTTGATGTCTGCATAAACCATTTTGACTCAGTACACATTCTATTAGTAATACTTTTATTGTATGAATAAAAGCTTAAAGAACATAAAAGAAGTGTTCTGAATTCTGTATATAAAGTTGAAGTTGGAATAATTTTATAGTAGTTTAAGAGAATCAGTTGTGTTGTGCCTTTTGCTCTAACTCGTGATACATTGATTTCCAAAGAAACATATATTGTCACTTAAATGAAGAGGAAAATCTTTCTTCAATTTCTTACTGTTACATTCCATTGTTTTACAGCTCTGTAATAACTTCATTGAATCATTGCTTTATGGTCTTGTAGACAACATACAAGTTAAAAACCTAGTTTGCACGTAAAAATGTATTGTATAATTACAAGCCACTGTACCACTGTACATGCGGGGTTGAACAAAATCCTTTTGAATTTAGTATTTAAATACTTTATCAAAATACTTTGTAAATTGTAAATAAGTATTTAAATTCATACTCAAAATATGATAGGTGTTTATTTGCTAAATACATACATATTTAAAACGCTTTAAATACTCAAGATACAGTAAATACAATATTGTATTATATCTTTTTTATTGCAACAATATATTGTAATTGTCAATTACAATTAATACTGAGTACTTGACTGACTCAGAAATTTCTGAACAAAAACTACAATTTACAGGCATTTATATTGATTATGTGTAAAATTATACTGTCACAGATTTTAATTGAGATGAACTGCTCTCAATGATTGTAAAGAATGGTGTATTTCAAATATGAGTATTTAAATACTGCCCAACCCTGAAAAGACATATTGCAAAAATTATACTATATTTATATTTAGCTGATTTTTTTTTATTGTAATTAAAGAAAAAAATGAACTAAAGGAAATAAAATCTGTCAGGCATGTGTGGGTTCATTGTTCCACAAACTTTGGGATATAAGATATTCAAATACATGGACACAAAACTCAAAAATACAATTTTTTAAAATAGAAAATGTACTTCAATTACGAGTATTGAAATGCCCAACTGTCTGTACATTTTTTATGTCTCATTAATAAAATGTTTATTTTAAAAGAATGTTTTACTACAATATTACACCAAAGAAATAATTTTTCTTTCTTTCTAAACTTTGTGAAAGAGTTTCATGTCGCACAATTATTTTGCAAAATACTGAAAGCAAACAAATGAAAAATTTTCATTAAATGGATAATTATTGTTTTGTTTTAATCCTTTGCACTTGTAAGCAATAAGCATAATGCCTGTCCTACAGCTTCTCTATGGCATCTCAAAGATGACAAGAATGATGACTACCTGCTCGTATGAGTATCTCATAGGGCATCTCTTTAAGATGCCAAATTAATATTCCTGATTGGCTTGTTGGGCATCTCACAGATGTCCGTGTATTTTCATGGAGTGTAAAATTAAATTTTCATTGTTGAATCAATGAGGGCTATAATTCTGTTTTTACATATTGTTATAGAATTATCATAGTTTTGCATTTTACTGACTTGAAATAGCTAGTGCTGGTCGACATTGCAGATTAAATTATAACATATTGTTTCAAACAGAAAGCAGGTAAGTGGAGTAGGAAAATATTTTTTTTGGCTTCTGGTTGTATCCAGTGTACAAATTACATCACCAGTAACGGAATAAGGAGTAGAAATTTAAGGAAAAGGCTTGGATATAAACTTGTAGGAGAAGACAGGAAAGAGGTTGCAGGTGAAATGGATTTCCATTCTATCTTTTCCCAAAACAACAATTATGATTGCTGCTACAGAAAAGCTGTGAGAAAAGTAGCAATTTATTTTCCAAAATATGTCATGGTGACCCACAGTGCATCATGGAGTATGCTTCAAAGCATTTCATAAAATTAAGAAATTCAAGAAAAGTTAATAAATTGTAAATTATTATTGTGTATTATTACTTTAGCATATCACTCACTTCTTAAAAATGAGTGAATTGTATGTTTTTAACTTCCAAATATAACCATATAAAAAAACAAATAATGAACCTTTTTTGTAGAATTTATTTCTATAAGTTATAAAACAGGGACGTAAATAAGTATAGATACCTATGAATTTTTCATGTATCAATTACACAAATATAAAATGGGAAATTGAATAAAAATAATTATATATTGGTAGACAATTATCTCCTGTTACTAGCAAATTTCATCACAAACTGGTTTGGGGGTAGGCAAAGGAACTGCTATGAGCTGTGCTGCCATTTTCCATATTATTTTGTGGATGCCTCACAAGCTGTGAGACCTTACATTTGATCCTAGAGTGCATTCTTGCATGTTATGTCCCAGATGAGTGCAAAGTGTTACTGCATCACAATCAACTAATATCAAGAATATTAATTGTGATACTGACGTTAGTCTTTGGTTGAATAAATAATTTTAAAAAAATCCTGTAAATAGGTAAACATGTTACCACAAACATAGCTGTTTTTATTAATATTTTATTTCATATGTTGAAAATGCACTTGTGGTAAATAGTTCTAACAGTTAAGTCAGGTCTGAATAATAATAATAATAATAATAATAATAATAATAATAATAATAATAATAATAATAATAATAATAATAATAATTAATATTTATTGAGTCACATATACAATTACAATCGTGTATGACGAGTCAATATGATGTCTTAGGTGGAGAGAGCGAAGTTACATTACTGTTCAGGAGCAAACAAGGGGCCATCCCAGCATTTGCTCTAGGGAACAGGGAACTGAACAAAACCTGATTGAGATGGGGTCATTGGCCTGGAAATACAATGCTTGTTACAGTTAGATTAAGATATTATACAATAGATAAATTGTCTGCTAATAATTAACATTTCAATATGTTATTTTAATTCTACTACTTATAATAATAATTATATTAATAATAAATACATTAATAATAATTACATTAATAATACATATCAATTATGTTTGCAACTACACCAAATTTATTAATAGTAGTACATTCTATACTTATAACTTAAAATGGTGAGGAGGCAAGTTTTGACCAGTTTTTTTCTTCTTCCAATCTCCTTCTGTTTCACAGGATATGCAGTTCTTTTTTCTTTGCTTCAGCTTGAAACAGTTTACATGAAACAGAAAGTCTAAGGGGATAAGAAATTCTTATTTATTTATATTTTTTGAGGGAAATGTAATTTGAAAATTCCTTTACACTGCAGAACATGTTATTAATCAGGAAAGCTTTCAATTTACTTTTAAATGTATGAATTGTGTTTATGTCTTTGATATCATTGCCTAGTTTGTTGTAAAGTGTAATGCCCTCTATTAGGATACTTTTTTGATAAAGTGTAGTTTGAAAGTGGGGAACGTGTAGGTTATCCTTTTGATGGGTGTTGTAATTGTGTACATCAGAATTTAAAGTAAAAGTGGCTTTGTTTCCCATGAGAATTTTCTTTGTGAAGACCACTATTTCAAATATGTACATGCATGGTAGAGGAAGAATCCTTAGTTTATTAAACAAGGGTTTGCAAGACTCCAGCTTATGAGTGCTGGTCTTTGTTTGCAATATTATTTTTTGGATAATAAATGTGCGAGTGCTTTCAGGGGCATATCCCCAGAATATTATTCCATATTTTAGGTGTGAGTGCACATTTGCAAAATACATTGTTCGAAGTGTCTCGATGTTGGAGCTTGACCTGAGGGTGTATAGTGCATAGCAAGATTTGCTGCGCTTCTTGTTGAGATTTGAGATGTGTTCCATTTTAAATTTTCTTGAATTGTTAGTCCGAGGAAGGTAGTTTCATGAAATATTGTTACAGGGTTATTGTTTATGAACAAATGCTGTGAGAGTTTTTCTTTAGATCGAGGATTCATGAAATTGAGAGAGACTGTCTTGCTGGTGTTTATGATGAGTTTGTTGTCTTGAAACCATTTTACTAGTGCTTGCAAAGTTTTGTGGGTTTCTTTTTCTAATGATTGTTGTGTTTTTGCTTTGATGATGATGTTTGTGTCATGTGCAAAGAAAATTATTTTGTTGTTCCCTAAAGCCAAAGGCATGTCATTTATGTATATAAGGAATAGTATTGGCCCAAGGATGGATCCTTGCGGGACTCAACAATTTATTATTTGAGGACAGGAGTAGTATGAGGAGATTTTGTTTTATTTAGTGTGTTGGAGGGCAACTATTTGGCTACGGTTTGATAAATATGATTTGATCCATTGGCCTGCAATGCCTCGAATCCCTAGTATTTCTAGTTTTCTTTAAAGTATATGATGGTCAAAGTATAAGTTGTTAAAAGTATATGATATCAAAGGCTTTTAACAAATCTAAGAAAAGGCCAATGGGAATTTCCTTCTGATTTAGTGCAACAAGTATGTCATTTATAAAGGAGAAGATGGCTGTGTCTGTGGATCTATTACTCCTGAAGCCATGTTGTGCATTTGTAAGGACATTATTTGCATTGAGAAACTGTTTGAGTCTAACATTGAAAAGCCTTTTCAGAATTTTTGAAAATCCTGATAACAGGGAGATAGGTCTGTAGTTCATTGGGTCATAACTATTGCCCTTTTTAAACAATGGTTTAATTTTTGCTGTTTTGAATATATCTGGGAATATGCCTTATTTTAGAGAGTAATTGCAGATGTGAGAGAGTGGTTGCAATACACATGGAGCACTGTGTTTAATAAGAAAATCTGGAATGTTGTCCATGCCTGCTGAGAATTTATTCTCCGTTTGTCCAATGATTTTAAAAATTTCAGAGGGGGTGGTTTCATATAAGAATATGGAATTTACAATTCAATTTGTATAATATTAGTGTTTGGTGTGTTTTATTGTTTATAGGGTGTTGAGAGATTAACTTATTATTAATTTGTGAAAAGTGTTCATTGAATATATCAACTATTTCTTGTGGGTCTTGTACAGTTTGGTTTTTGTAGTGGAGCTCTATATTTTTTCTGTTATTATTAGTTGGTGCAGTAGTCTTTTTAATAATGACCCACATAGCTTTTGTTTTGTTACACGAATTTGCAATGTACTTATCATTTGTTATAATTTTGGCTTGTTTGATTACTTTTTTTAGGATCGAATTATATGTTTTGTAATACGAAATGAAGTTTGAGTCACGTTTGTTATTCGTTAGTATTTTATACATGTTGCGTTTTCTTTCACATGACACTATGATGCCTGTGGTAATCCATGATTTAGTTTTCTTATTTTGGATCTTTTTGAGTTTTTGAGGGAAAATGGCATTGAAATGTCTTAAGTATATATTTATGAATGAGTTAAACTTATCATTTGTATCGGTTGCCTTATATACTTCATTCCAGTTTTCAAATCTGAGTAAGTTTTGAAATTTTATTATGTTTCCTTGGGAATAGTTACGGATTTCTTTGTAAATTGTGTGTTCCACAGTTTTTGTTTCTGTTTGAAGTGTTAGAATCTGGGCAGTGTGGTCACTGAAACCTGTATTAAATGTAGCAACAAAAAAACAATGGTTATTTGCATCTATTATTATTTGATCTATAGCAGTGCTACTATATTTGAATATTCGTGTTGGTGTATTTATAGTTGTTTGTAAAGTGTATGATTTTAGTAGGTCTTTAAATAGATTTTCATTACTGGATTGTGTGAGGCAATTTATATTGAAGACACTACAAAGAATAGTTTTATACTGTCTGAGTTTTTGAAGTTTTGTTAGAATAACTTCCAGATTTTTTAAAAAGATTTTCAAATTTCCAGCAGGGCTGCGATATGTGCATAAGACCCATGTTTTTATTGTTGTTAAGTCAGTGATGGATATTTCAAAGTCTTTTTCTTTTACAATATGAGTGTGATTTGTGTAGGGTACAAAACTAATTGTATTTTTAATAAAAATGCATGTCCCACCATATGCATGATGTGTGTTGTTAATATTTCGACATGAGCTGCCGACTAGAGAGAAACCTGATATATAAGTGTTATCTAATTGTTCTTTAGTTAACCAGTGTTCTGTGAAGCACAATACTGAAATGTGGTTGAGTTTCTCCTCAAGTAATATTTCTATGTCAGTAAGTTTATTTTTCAGTGACTGTACATTTTGGTGAAGAATGTGCAAATAGTTTTTATTTTTGCATATTGTCTGCTTTCCTGCTGATGTTTGATGCTACATGTTATACCCAGGAGTGGGTTTTTGGATGCAGCGGAAGTTATATGTACGGATGGGATGAGGAGTAGGAAATGTGGAAGTAGGTGAAGAGGCTGAAGGGGAGAAGAAAGGTGAGGAGGTAGTTGGAAGAAGTGGAGTGGGCAGGAGAGGTGTAGGAGTAGGAACTGGTGTAGGTAAAAGAGGACTGGGGGCAGGTGAGGGATGTGGAGTGGGCAGGAGAGGTGTGGGAGTAGGAGAAGGAACTGGTGGGTGTAAGAGAGGACTGGATGGTGGTGAAAGATGTGGAGTGTGTAAGAGGGGTGTGGATGGAGAGGCAGAAGAATGGATGGGAGATGGATGTGAGGTAGCAGAGGCAGGGGTTAGTAGGTGCGAGATGAGCATGGCTCCTAGATTTTGTTTTCCTATCTGGTTCATGTGGAGACCATGCCGAGTAAAATGTTTTCTTGAGAGGTTGTCAAGATCAACAAGTGTGATAGGTGTCCCTCTCAAGTGCTGTCTTATATGATGGTTTGCAATCTTAATTTCATGGTTTATAGGAATGTTGTTGTGCCAGGGGGGCAGAGTGGTCATTATTACATTTGTGTGTTTGGCAGTCTCTTGTATTTTGTTAAATGTTCCTCTACATGAAAGTTACTGCCAGAATTAATATCATTCTGCCCACCTATAATAACTACTGTGTCCTGTTGTGTAAAAGATCTAGTCTGAGTGTTTAAGTTCTCAATTACACGAGCCATCATGGCATTAGGTTTAAAAATACTTATAAGATAAGATGTTTAAATAGATTTATGTGAAAGTTATTTATTTCTTACTAATATTAAGGAATTGACATTTGAAATAAAGAGGCT